TTTTCCTTTTTAACACAAATATATTTTAATATACAAACAACAATACAATTTACAATAACAGTTATTACAAATAATTATTATATGCAATGATTTATAAACAAAAGTTTCAGAAACTTACAAGCACTATAAAGTCTTCTTTCTAGTCTGGAATTTCTTCGACATCTTATTGAGGGTTCACAATGAGCGAGTTAATTATGAGTTGACGTAGGTATAATTCACTTAACAGAGAGCTAGCTAGCTTTGTCCTTCATTATTCACCAGCTACACGGGCCAAGTTTTCCACGATATTTTCATAAAATTACTAATGTTTGATGAGAATCTACTGAAGTTAAATGACTTGTAATGTTCAAACTTTGTAAATGCTCTTGGTCAAATATCTTAAGTTTCCTGATTGATAAGTGCTATAACAATCACAGTTATAGCTTCCAAAGTTTATAGCACGCTGACTATAGCGAACTAATAATAGATACTCTTCTTTTTTGGCACGTCGCGTTGGTTATACTTATAGGTGTGTGGAGGCTTTCTCAAAATTTCAGTTTTACGTAACAATACTAATGCTGCATTTAAGCATTTACTTAAATACATATATTGTTGATTCTTACTCTAGAGAATCTTCTACAACTTTGGAGAATAGGCGGGAGTTTTGAATTATTAAAATGTGTGACATGATTCTGAGATGAACTTGGCAATTAAACCTTGGTGTTCTACCTTAATTGATTTATTTTTCTAGTACACCCTGGTAAGATATTAAAGAAATTTATACAGAATGTTATTTTCACATCCAGAATATTTTAGCAAATTTTTTGTGAGCTTTCTTAACTTCTCTAAAAAAAATCTGTGTGAGTGAAGCTGACTTTCAGTTTTCTATTAGTTAATACTAAACCAATCCAATTTTTTCTATTTTACATCTAATAAAAAGATTTTATGTGCTTGCAGACAACACCCACAAGTAATTTTGTTTAAACAATTTCTCCAAATCTTGAATGATGTGTTTTAAGATTAGTATAACCATGCAGCTTGAAATATTTTATGATGCAATAAAAATTAATGAACTAGTGCAGGTGTTAATAGAACTTTTATAAGTCATACAATTTTTTAGGTACATAAATAAAAGAGGAGAATGAACATTTTTATTACAAGCATAAATGTATTGAATCATTCATTATTTAATGAAACAGAAGTACTAATAAGCATGTCAAATTAATCCCTCTGTAACCTAATTGATTGTGACACTATAAATCAGACTTGCATACTGATCATTTGTATTTTGACAATATGTATACCTTAAATCTATTGTTTCTTTTTAATGATGGCTGACCAAATAACGAAGTGCGATTTATTTGATCAGAAAATGACCATTAATTGTTTCTTTTTAATGATGGCTGACCAAATAACGAAGTGCGATTTATTTGATCAGAAAATGACCATTAATTGTTTCTTTTTAATGATGGTTGACCAAATAACGCAGTACGATTTATTTGATCAGAAAATGACCATTAATTGTTTCAAATATTTTAGATACGAATGTAAGAAATAAATGGATAATAAAAAACTAGTTAGACAAGTGAGATCATCCATAAATGTTTGAAACTGTTTTGACACTTTTTTTTTTTCTGTTTATGAACTCAACTATCTGGTTTTTGGCAATATTAAACCATAAATTCTGTCTCTTCTAAAAAAAGCCAGTCCTGAAACTGACCACCAGAAGAGTTAATTTTGTCACATGAAAAAACAACTTACTTCTAGGTTTTTCAAGTTTCTAACATATAATTGTCATTTCCTGCTAAACCTTTGCTGAGATTTCCATATTGAACCAGTATGGAAGAGCTATGAGTACACCAATGATTAAGTTATATGATTAATATATTTTTTACAAAATGCTTCATATTTGTAGTACTTTGGGCTATGGTAATACTCTATAACATAAATTTCTGTTTATAAAGACACTAGTAGGTTTTACTGTATTGAATTTTTTTAAGGGAGAATTTAAATTTTGAGTAAATAGCAGCATGTTATTAAACATCCAATGCCTGGTTTTAATATTATTTAAATCATATGAACTGCTAGACATTTTGCTGTATCTAATATATACTGAGAATCCTTACTTACTGTTTGTAACAAAACATACTTTATGTTTCAATTTATTATAAACTTGTATATATACTTCCTTTTTTTATTGTCCTAAACAATATTGCTATGTGATATATTATCCTTATACTTGTTCCAAAGTAACTTCTGGCAGTCAAGTGTATTCCATTTAAAGTATATAGGGTCTTCCACTAGTGTATGATTGCATGCATTAGAACCTTAGGTCCATTGGGAGTACAGAGGCTGAGAACCTCGTGACCTGGTGGCTACCTTGCCTCAGTTGCAAGCTACATATAACTTAAATAATAATAAGTACAACTATGCTTGATTTACTTATAACTTCAAACTATGTTTTATAGGACAGAGAGAAAATATTTGGTAATATCAGCAAAATCCATTAATAGCTCAATTTTACAAGTTGAACATATTCTAACTCAAAACTGTTGGACATAGAAGCTGGAGCATCTTCAAATCTTGCAGGAAACATTGCTATTGAGTGCTGGAACCAAGTTGGTTAGAAAATGATATTTCTATCATGGCTTTTCTTGATGATGGTGACTTTTTCATCCAGGGTATAGACACCACTTTCAGATTCTCAGCAGTTGATGGAAACATGCAGCTAGTCACCAGAATGTTACGCACATAGATAAAACATCTTTTCCATTCCAGCTATATCATCCCATCAAATTTTATTGATTTGTTGTACAGTCAAATGCCATCATGTGGAATTCATACAGCTATCTTGTGACTACAAACACTCACAATCATGCCAACTGCTTTAGTGTCATTATTGATGAACTGAGAATTCTCCACAGTTGACATTATGAAAAAAATTACTTGGGTAACATACAGGGATTTATTCACTCAAATTTATCATAGTTCCAATCACTTCTCATGTTGTTTAAAAATCACAACCATTTTACTTGGTAGACTTGTATAAACCTCCAATATATAAAAGGTGTGGTCTTGTATGTAAGTGCAGCATAAAACCACAGGTGCATACAAGTGGTTATAAATGGATAATTTTGTATCTGCTACTACATGTGTGTTCCAGCTTACTCATTAAATCCTTTACTGTAAGCACATAGAAGGGATTGTTATATATCAAGAAATAGTCAAATACTTTGTAAGCAAGGTATTTCAATGGGGTAACAAACTGTTGGTTTTTAGGATGCTGCTTCTCCCATGTTATCACTTCATTGTTAAATGACTTTATTGTAACATAATATTTTGAATAATATCAAAATATTCAGTAATCAAGTCATTTAAGTTAGGCAAGGCTAAAACTAAAAAAAATGGACCTCCTTAGAATATTTGAGTTTGGCTGCTGCATTGCAAATAAGGAACCAGTACTAAGTAAACAATTTCATGTGGTAAAACCTTTAATAAGTTAGTATTTAATCATTAATTATATTAATGTATATGTGTTTTAAAATTGGATTTGAATGCTTTAAAAACCAGTTTTGGTTGGACACAACAATTTTAAGGATGCTATTTATTTACTAAATTTATTGTACACAAATTTACCTGTACTTACACAGCCACAATACTCTATGTAAATCCTTACTTTGCCAAGAAATACACTAAGATTACAGAACATATAAAAAAAGCTTTACAAGGAAATGTTTCCTAAAGCAAAAATACAAATCTACTTTATACACTCTTTTTACAAAATACTTTTACTATGTACAATCATTCTTAGCCTTAGCACTAATTCACTGTAGTATTATAGTATTTACTGCTTACTATTTATTTTTCAAAAATTTGCTTTGCGATTGTCTCTTTTATTTTACACCTGAAACCAAAATAATAACTTATTTTTAGAATAAGATAATTGCACTTAATTTTTTTGTTTGACAAAATTTCAAGGCATTCCTTAATGCACAAAAGTATTTCAAAAATCTGTTTTTAGTGTCTTCTTGTTTTCAGAAGTGTTTATTCCCCAACTACTATCACCAGATGTAAAAGTAAAATAAAAACTTGTTTTTAGAACAAGGCAATTGCACTTATTTTTTTTGACTAAATTTCAAAGTTTTCCTTAGTGTTCAATTTCACATAAGTATTTAAAAAAATTATTTTTTACCATCTCTTTGCTTTTATCACTTTATATTCCATAGTTACTATTGCTGACAAGTATACTAACACATTCCCAAAGGTTCACAGCACTTTTGATTTGTAAACTGAAAACTTTTAAGAACATTTCTTCAACTGTCTGATTTACCCTACACCCTTTTGCTTTGTAAAACTTCATAGTATAGAAGCATTATAAGATTACAAGTTCAAATAAAAATAAACAGCAAAAATATTGATTGACAGGTTTTCAAAATATTTCATTGATAGTTCCATACAATATACTCTGGTTTTAATGAAATGTAGTAAGTCATTATTGTAAAGAAAACAAACTATAATTGATCAGTGTGTCAACCAGGGTACTGAAATTATAGATCTTGACTAAAGTGCATTATAGAACATTATCCCCATGATTAAAAATTATCCAATTCATAAAGCCACATAATAAGGAAGTTTTATGATTTTTATGTATCTATTCTGTGAAAAGTACATTTTAAATAAAACAATTGTAATTTCTGAAAGCTGTTGATATGTATTATAAATCTATTACTCATGGGGATAGTGCACTTTAGGCATGAGGATATTGTCCTCTAGGGCTAATGTGTGATTGGATAATGCCCCATAACCATGTCACTTGTAGTAAACAATAAGAAGTTTCATCAACTTTTGGCCTTAATGTGTTGTTAATTTGTACAAATTTATATTAATGTATTCAACATTTTATTATAATACTTTTTATCATATCAAAACAAATTTAAAGTATATTGTCTATTAAATTGAAAAAGTAAAACTTTTCCATTTATGATTGTAGATTTTGATGAATAATTTAGGCCTAAAAGTAAGACTGACACTTTCTTAAATCCTAATCCAATATTCACACTAAACAGGGAAAATAATGCCCTTAAGTAATTTTTAACTACTCATTTTTAAACCCACTAATTCTTGGCAATAAACGTGAGCATTTATTACCTCAAAATGCACATAAGCATTGAAGAAACAGGTAGGGACTCCACTTCCTTATCTATAATACTTTCAAGTACAAAAGTGACTTGATAGATAACACAATCCCTCCATTGGAATATTGTACAACTTAGAAAAGAATTCAAGTAATAAATGTTCATTTTCCAAGTTACTAACATTCTAAATTCAAAGTATGATTCTCAGTCTTTACGTGAATCATTAAAAATAAGCATTTACTAATTTCACATCAAAATGATCTATACTGGTAATCTATTATTACTATATTTTAGAAAAATAGTGATTTTTTTCTAGAGTATATAGAATTACAAATGGTACAAACTACAGTGTCCAGAAATTATGTTAACAAATTTGTGGAGAAAATTTCTAGAATCTCATATTAAAATATTCCCATATAATGAGTCTCAAAACACCTGAGATTGTTTACTTGTGCTTGAGAATCTGCTACCATAATTATCAGACAACATATTTATCACTTAAAAATTTGAGATTTCAAGTTTTTGATAGATTTATACATTGCAATAAAAAGAATGCAACGGAAAAAAAAATTAGTTTATGTATTTTGCTTTAATTGTATATTACATTAAAAGTAATACACCATTTAAACCACAATTATTTATTAATACAAAAAAAATACTTTGCTACAGGTTTTGACCAAATTTGTTTGGGCCATCATTAGGTAGAATTCATATGGATGAGACAACAGTATATATACTATATTTCAAGATCTCATTACTATAACATGTAGTGCATGTCAAATTTAATGAAACAACCGTAAAATAAATTTATCTCATCTCAAGACGCTTTCAACTCTTTATACAAAACAGAAAAATAAAGTTATTTGCTTACCCTATTTCCCTAAGAGCTCAAACAAATGAGAATTTTTATTTTACATATACGGACTGCCACATTGTTTATAGAGCTCTAAACAAAATTTGTAATCTTCCTCCTTTATTAAAGGATAAATTAACAACTTTTGACAAAATTTATAAAATAAAGTGTGAATACAACAGTGTCAATACTAGTCAGATAATTTGTACACTACGATGTTGTCTGAATACCATGCTTTACCATGTATAGCACAAAATGCTATTAACTATAAACACCATATTCTATGGGATGAGGCCAAATTAATTCATTTTCTGAGTAATTACACTAAAAGGGATTGGTTGGAAGTAATTGAACACAAAGATTTTTCTTTAAGTAAAGACTAAGATCCAGGAATTTCAATACTTGGATCAACAAAGAGATGTTTATTAACTATATATAGTTTTATAATTATGGGGAATGTTTTATGTGTGTGTGTGAGTGTATATATATACATGTTTTCACCTATTTATTGGTGTTTTTCATTTAGATTCAACATTAATTTAAAATTGAGATGCACTATGTCCCATAAGAAAGTTTTTTAATATATACTGTTATCTCATCTATTTTCATCCTGCCTGACGATGGCTCCAACAAATGTGGTAGAAACATGTAGCAAAATGTTTTTGCTTTTCAATAATAGATAATTGTGGTTTAAATGGTATATTACTTTTATTAATTCAATACCACAAGTAATGTGAGTAAACCAACTACATATTACATCACATTGTTATCTCTTTACCCAGACCTATCACAAGATATTTTCTGTCAAAACTTACTTTTAGAAAAATAATTCTATTAAAGAATGGAACCTTTGAGCAACTTTTTCAAAAAGGCTTCCTGGAAATAATTTTCTAGTAAGCGCATTCTGAGCATTATCAATGAATAAGTCAATAGGATTTTATCAAATAAATAGTTTAAACAAAGAAAGAAACAGCAATGTGATTCCAAGAACAGATCCAAACAAGAATGGGAAAAAAAATTAATGAATGTTAAATATCATTTCAGGTATTTCAAACAATTTCTTATTTTAAACTAATAACCGTGTAAAAGCAGATATTTTCCAAGTCAAGATGAATATGAAATGCCTATCCAGTAAAAGTCCTAATGGGCTCAAGTGCTTGTAAAATGATTGACTTCTTCTTCAGGGACCACCCTTTGAAGTTGCTAAAGCCTTTTTAGTTTCTGTGATAACTTTCCATTTATCCATGGTACTATCTTAATCAAAATGCATGAATCACCTATTCCATTTTGTAATTACAAATAAGTTATGTAAAAACTGCAAGTTCGATCAAATTAACCTTTACACAAGGTATGTTCACTTAAGTACATCAAACATTTCACAACCTTTGAAGTTTCTACTGACATAAAATTGTGAATCTACTGTAAATACTACAGGTGACAGCATAAACAAAACACATCACTCATTTTAATGTTTTAAACATTCCCACTGGGGCCTCTATTTAAATACTGCCCTTTTTCATAACTTAATTTAACAAATATACAAGAAAAAACACCTTATATTTACACATAAATACACAAGTTTCATCAATCAAAATTCTAATTTCTGTTTGTTTTTCTTTCATATGGCCCAAACTATATTTTATGCATTAAAATATAAATTGAAACAAGTTTTAAAGTGGTTATGTAAGCTTATAGGACACTATAACAAATGTTTATTACAGTTACCTTGTTTATTAAGGTGTCATAATTTTATTGTTGCTTAGATGACACTGGCTTATATGCACAACAATGAAGAGTCACTGACCCACTTGTAGAAGATAATTAACAAAAATGACTGTAAATAACTTGGAATGACTGGTTTTAGCATGCGTGAGATGTACGGATTCGCATGTTTTCATACACACACACATAATAAATGCCTCAACAAGTCCTACAACTACTATGAATAAATGTTGAAAATATGTTATGTGGTTTCGAATATTAAGCTTCAATACATCATTCTTGTTAGTACATTGTTTTCTTCATAATGAAGATTTTGAATACCCCCACCCAATACTATCTTTATACTTGGCCCAAATCACTAAGGAAAACAACACGGACATCGCTTTTACACATATCAGCCAAGAGTATATTCCAGAAATAAATTACTTTCAAACATCATATAATGATCAGTTATATTAGACACAAACACACGCACTGGAGTCATCAACACATGTAGTAATAGTTAAAAAGTTCAAGGAACTTTACATTTGAAAAATTTCTAAACTATGACTTCCTTTCCAGATGGCCTTTTCTGATGAGATCTAAGATTGTTTGCTTTCTCCAAGGTTTTTTCTGTAAGATTCATGGGATTGGTGTTTTTTTGTGATTCTAAAGAGTGGATCTTGTATATTTTTTTAGGAATGTGGGTAGAGCAATTAATGTTATCAACTTCCATCATCTCTGTGGAATCACTCAAGTTGGAGAAGCCAAGTTTTTCCTTTAAGTCATTACCAGTGTGAAGAGGATTATGATACCTTCTTAACTTTTCTTCATTTTGGTTATTAGTCTTCTCTTCTTCAAATTGTTCTAATTTATTGATAATTGAGTGCTGATGATGGTGAGTCAATGACTGTTTTCTTTGACAAAGATGGCAATAATACCACAGTCCTGTTCCAACAAGGCAAGCAAAAAGTAGCAAAACTAAGAGTGATACTAGCACTGGTACCAACAAGTATCGAAATCCTGAAATATAAGTATGAAGCATCATTAAGTAATCTCACAACCTAAAGAAACCTTGGAAATCTCTCTCAAAAAATGTTTTGACAGTTCTTAAAATTATGTAATACTGACTGGAGTATATTGTACATAATTATGAATAAATTAAACAAATATAATGGATAGCTCCCTCTTTTATATTTAACTATATTTCTTTTATATAATAACTTAAACATTACTTACTCAATTTGCCTAATTTTATTTAATTTTCTCATATAGGTATTTCCTTTTACTTCATAAGATCTTCTATATTTGTTTAACAACAACATTTACAGATATATTGTTATATATATGCCATCAGCTTTGTAATAATAGGAACGATCACATGTAAAATATATTCCTGTACATTATTTATATCTTAGAATACAGTGGTTTTAATTTGACTGAAAGGACTTCATTGCAGAAAACATACTCCTGGTGAAGGTGTATAGCCTTCATAGTTGTTTCATTTATTCACAGTACTCTCAAAATTAATAAGATCCAAATAAATTTCATGAAATGTTATAAAACTTGCATGAACTAAACATTTTGTACTCTAACTACAGAAAAAATTGGATTGGAGGGTACACATAAAAGTATTTGTGTGACAATCCTGGTTGAAGGCATTGAGCACCAAAGTCTGTGGATGCGTTACAGATGACCAAAAGAGGGGCAACTTGGTATTGAGCCCATGGCAAAAGCATCCAATTGGAGAGAACCCCATCAATGGTGAAGGACCCTGAAAATGAGAGAATTTAATGAACACTCCATTGCATAGATCTAGTCTGGGGGTGAAAGACAATCCGCAACTAGATTGAAAGCACCTGGTACATGACATGCGATAACATGAATGTGATGTGCATGGGCTCAGTATAATAGATCCAACATCCGAAAACATAGGTCTCTGGACCAGGTGCCCCCTTGGTGGTTAATATGTGCTACCACCATAGAGTTGTCCAAATGAACTATCACTAGACAATGACGAGTGAGAAGAAGGAAGGCGATGTAATGCCTGACGTACTGCTAGAAGTTTGAGAACATTGATATGGAAGATGATTTCATCTACAGACCAATGGCTAAAAGCTTCCTGGTGATCGACCCATGGCCCTCATCCTTGAAGGGATGCATCCATGAAAATATGTAGATCAGGAAGTGAGGGAGGGAAGTGGCATGCCTGACGAAGTTTGGGCATTGTCCAGCCACCACTGCAGATTGTCTTGTAAGAAAGAAGGAAGGGCATTGGTGGTGGAAAGAGTTTCCCAAGCAAGGTTCCATTATTCATGAAGCACCCACTGCAGTGATCTCACATGGGCATGACAGAGAGGGACCAGTGCAATCATGAAGGACCACATACCCAAAAATGATAGAATCTAGTGAGCAGAAAGTGACTGAACCGAGAGGGTATGGTAAACTAAAAGTTCCATGGAAGGCAGAGTGCGACTGATACTGGTGTTGAAAAAGACCCCCAAATGGACGAGATGTTGAAGGGGCCGAGGGAATGACTTTTCCAATTTGATCAAACAGTCCACCCTAACTGCCAAAGAAAGAAGTTGGTGAGTATGAGTGGCTGATTCCTGCTTGGAATGAGCCAGTATTCCATGTAATAATGAAATTGCATCCCCAGAGCATGAAGATGATGAGCAAAAGCCAGATTATGTGACAAAACACATAAGGAGCCAAGGTAAGTCTGAAGGGGAGGGCCCAAAATTGGTGAACCACCCCAAGATGGACAAACCAAAGATAAGGTCGAGATGGATGTGCTATCTTGATGTGGAGGTAAGTATTGGAGACATCCATTTTCATCATCCTCAACCCTGGGGTAAATGCCCATCTCAGGGTGAGAAAATACTCCATACTGAACTTGGGGAGTGCGATTAAGTGGTTAAGGAGAGGTAAATCGATGACAGGCCATCAATCCACAGTTTCCTTGGGGACAACAAAAAGACGGGAATAAAAAATACCCGGAATGATGGTGGACCGGTTCGATAGCTCACTGTAAAAGCAAATCTCGAACTGCCCCAGACAGATGCTGGCAGGTCACAGGATCTTCAGGAGGAGGAAAAGAAATGGGTCAAGGAGAAACAGGAAGTGGAGAAAGAAACTGGATAACGAATGCTTCTGACAGAACCCATATCAGCCACTGATTGTCAATAAAGGGATGCCAGCAAGGAAAAAACTCCAACAGTCGAGCTCCCACTGGGTAGTTACCATTACTGGTGGCAATGGATGTTACATCATTGAGGAAATCAACAAAAAAGGATTAGAAAGAACAGGTAAGTGTTGTGAGGATGAAGGACGAGAACGGAATAGGTGGCATATGAGGCATTGACTGAGACAATTGGGCTACGAAGGTCGCAAAAGTAGATTGCTGGAGGGCTGATGTTACCTGATGATTGATAGTTTCTGGGACTGTATCAAAAACATGGGTCAGTCTTATGTCTTGCACCTTTTTTGAGACACGAGCCAATACTGCATCCGTACCTAAAACGTCCAAACAACAAAGAAACCACGTATGTAACACCACAGCCGAGGACGAAATGCAGGTGAAGGGTATCCACAGAAAACCCTTCACGATTTCTGTGGAGAGCCTCCTATAGGAGATGTATGGAACAAAGATTCTGTAGAAGGTTAGTGAGGGTAAGACGAAGGCGAGAATATTGGGCATGGGTAAGACTAATATTAAATTCGGGAGCCACCCCCAGAGAGGTGTCAGAGAGTGGGATGGGAAAGAAAAGAAAAAAAAGAAGGTGGAAACCAGAGGTGGCAAATCAAACTACAGCTTAGCAGATTTGATGGCAGCAATACAAGAACAGCAAAAGAAATAAGAAGAATGAGAAAAGAAGAGTGATTACAACTTTGTCATGGATTCTGCATCTCAGCAAACCCTTGTGAGTATCAAGGTGCTGGATCACAAAGAAGCCATACAGAAGATCTATGTTGTAACAGGACATTATGCAAGGTTGTGGGCCCAGTGTGGGTAACTATTGAGCTCATGGGCTTAAAGGACAGACACAAAGTATACTTGGTTGACATTGAAGACCAATGCATATTAGGGTTGGACTACTTACTGCCGAGGAAGTGTGTAATTAATTTTGATAAAATGACGTTTGGGAACAAGGCCAAATTCTAGTAAGTGTTGCTACATCTGTTGATTTGCTTGTCACAGCACTTAAGTCAACAACAATACCCCCTATGTCAGAGAAGATAATTTGGGGCAGGATAAAAGAACATCCCCTGCTTGTGGAAGCAGTGGAAGACCCACCCAGGCCAGCGGATTTGATGATTGGAAGGTCACTTCTCTAATTTCTCTAAATGTGAGCAGACACTTAAGGAAGGGACATTGTTGGGTGTGTGCCAGGAGGTAGAGCCAGTCAAT